CTGCTGTAGTCCTCCCTGAAATCTAGTACAAACAAATGTCTTCTCTTGGAGCCTCTTGGGTGGGGTGGCAGTTTTTCAACTGTCAGCAATCTTTTAGGGGTTTTTTTTTTTTTTTTTTAAAGTAAACTTTCCAGTCCTGCTCTACCTGGAATACATTTTCTCCTCCAGGCCCCTCCCCAGGCCTCTGCCGTTCTCTGTCAACACGGTAAAGCCAGCCCCCTCCCTAGCCGCAGGCAGTTGAATGAAGCAGTTCTTTGCTCCACCGAAGGAAATATTTCCATGGAGTCGGGCCAAGAAAACCCCTTGCTTGAATCCGGGGCTGGCCCACACCCAAAGCTGGGGGGCCCAGTGAGGGCGGGGTAGGGCGACGTGGCCACATTTTCCCAGTGTCAGGATGTGACTTCTTCTAAAACCCAACCCAGAGACGTGGCCTGCTTCGCCAAGACCCCATTCTTGGCTGGCCCCGGCCCCTAGAAAATGGATTTTTCTAGGCCCCTCCTGCAGGAATGAAACCAACGAAGTTCATTTTTGTTGTTGTCGTTCCCAGCTTGGAACCGCTCGCCTCTGCGCAGGGTTCAGAGGGCCCTCCGAGAAGTCTGGCGCGCCTGCGGGGCGGCCCCCAGGCCCCACCGCGCCCCTCGCTTCGGCCTCTATCGGGGACGTGCTTGGAGCTGCTTAGGAGGGGCGTTCTGAGTCTCTGGATTCTTATTTACTTAGAAAAACATTACATATTTGAGGTCCCTAAGGAAGAGGCTCAAACAGTCAGTCTTCTTGGATTGTTGCATTGTTTAAAAAATGTACATTATAAAACCAATATATGCCAGTAGAGAAATCCATAAAAGTAGAAGAAAAATGACCAGAATCTGTTTGCCCTGAACAACGAATGGTTTTTAGGGGTATTAGGGTGTAATTTGGGGTATTACCTTCCAGCTCGTTCTCACTGGCTCCGGTCATGACAAGGGCCTCGAAAGAGCAACGCTCACCCTCTCCCACACACCGCGGACCCCAGAGTCAAACACCACGTGCGCTGCCTGGGAGCCCAGCAGCCTACCAGGAAGGAATCTTTATCCTTGGCCTTTTGCAAAAGGCTGCATTTTATTTGTCTTTTAATATCTACAATTTGGCAAACTGCTCTATGCAAAGGTTGGGGCTGCATCCAGACTGACTGCAGGTTTCCGGGGAGCAGGGTGCTCCTGGTGTGGGGGCCTGGGCAGGAGGAGCCCTGGAGTACGCAGGCAGCCCGGGGCCTCCTCGCTTCCTGATCCCAGGGTCAGACACCCCAGGGACCCTCAAACATCCAACTCAAAGGACTGTGGGTATGAACTGAACGTGGGTAAGTGGATGGAAGTAAAAACTAAGCCCACCACGCATGTCCTTAAATACCAAACTAAAGAGCTGAGACTTTATTCTGAAGATGGACTCGAGTTCCTGAAGGGCTGTCGGCATGGGTGTGCCTTCTAGAAGATCCTCTGTCAATTCCGGGGCCCCGGAAGGTGGGGCTGTTGTTTGACACCCGGACCGACCCCTGAAAGGGGGCGTAGAGACGAGGAAGCAGCCGGGTCAGCCTTGCCTGTGCCGCCCACCGGCCGTGCAGAGGGCCCAGAGAGATCTCTGGGGACCATGACCCTTTGGGGGTTACCTGGAAGTCCAAGAAGGCCTGCAGAGAGGCGCAGGGAGCCCACGGGATGCTGTTTTCTAAAAGCTCTCAGTATGGTTTTGAGAAGAGAGCACATTGACCCATGCCTGGGAGAGGGATAGAGAAGGACCTTGTCCTCATTTCCTGGCTGAATCTTAGGACGCTTGTACACGTGCCCACAAGTATGTACATGTGGATAGGAGACCGCTCACATGGCTTTTGAGGGCTCCCAAGTATGAATTTAAAAAAAGAAGAAAAATGTGTGCTTTGAATTAGATCTACGTGGAAAAAAAAAAAAAAAAGCAGCGGGCTAAGCCATGCGTCTGGGACACTGGCTTCCCTCCAGGCTCTTCAGGAGAGTTGGGTTTCAGCATGTACAGCAAAGAAAGCGAGCCATTTCTCAACCTGGATTTCCTTGTCTGCTGTGCCCTATAGATATGAATCTGAGCCCTCCAATGTCTTCTTGGAGTGAGGAAAGCCTGCCCACCCTCTCTCGGATCGAGGGACAGTTGGGACCCAAAGATCGCCATAGACTGGCTCTTCCAAGTTATTTCTTCCATTGCTTTGGACCAATAAATGTTTTAAAAGTTAGTTTCTGAGCTCCGGAAAAGCCAACGAAAACATTGAAACGTATGGATTTTTTTTCGTGCTGTGGTTCAGCCATGCTCAGCAGGGCGCGTTTACAGCGGCCTTTCCTTTTTCTCGTGGCCTTTTCTTTTTCTATCTTTTTCGTTCTTTCTTTTTTTCCTTTCTTTTAGGAAGCCAGAAGGATACGCATGTTGCCATGGAGTTCTGTTTAAAATAAAATACAATGGAAAGAAAAGCAGAGTGATGAAGTAACCACATGGGCTGCAGGGCACACCTGATACTAATTACTGTCATGCACAATGTTCTGGAAGACATTTGACTCGCCTGATGTATACATTCAAATCAAGCAAAGCAGGACTGCAAGGCTCCTTGGGGACCATCGTGTCCAACTCTTTCCTTTTTCCAGATGAAGAAATAGGGGCCCAGAGAGAAGGGCCTGGACCTCAGCCTCCCAGCTAGGAGGGGGCAGAGCTGGGATTCAAACCCACCGCACTTTTGTCAGAAACACATCATTTCCAGGGTCCTTTCCCTTGGCCTGTCAGTTAAGACCCTGAAAAAGAGGAGTGGGCTTTACTGGGAGCCTCACGGCAGCAGGCTGAGGAGCCAGGGAGACCAGAAAAACAGCAGAGAGGCTGACTTGGCGCTGGGAGGCCCAGCTTCCCTCGTGGGGCCGGCCTGGAGCAGAGATGCGCGTTGCATGCCTGGAGTTTCTCCTTCCACAGGGCCTCCCAGGGGCCCCCCAACCAAGGCCGGGGGCTCCTCCCAGAGTGTCAACTTGTGATCTTTGGGACTGCAGAGCTGTTGCCAGAAGGCACTGTGTTCAACACAGACTCCAGGGACCCCGAGTGCGTGACTACTGACGCTCTCTGGTGTCTGCCTGGGCTCCCACGCAGGCCTCCCACGCGTGCAGGGAGAGTGGGAGCCCCCGTGACAATGCGCGCCCCTCGCCTCTGCCCCGGGGAGGCTAGCAACCCGGCCTGCTGGCGTCTGATTGGCCGCGCGCGCCTGACGACAGGGGCTCCTGGCCACTGATTGGTCCCGGCCCGCTCCGGCTGTTTCCTAGCTATTAATACCGTGGCTAATAAACGTTCTTCTGTTGACTGGGATGCTCGGAGCCATGATTTTTTGAAGCTTTCTTGACGTCCGTGGTTGGTGTGGGCCTTTGGGCCTCGCATGTCCTGCTGGAGGGGCTCTAGTCTCTGGGGTGCCTTGCATGCACCCCGAGCCGTCAGCGGGGTGTTCTCGGCCTCCCTCACAGTATCTGACACCTTAGGTGGGCTCCCAGCGATGGCCCACTCTGTCCTCATCTCCCCAGATGCCCCGTGCGTCTGTAAACGAGGTCCCCCACCCCAGGGTCTGGGTCTCTTGTGGCCTGGTGGTCCGTTTTCACCTCCCTGTCCCTCGCCGTTGGCTTTGCAAGTAGCCTTGTCCCTTGCTTTCAGCCCTGGAGCACCCCGTCTGTGTTCCAGTACCTCGCAGGACAGCTGGGCCTGGGGGGCTCTCTCTGAAGCTGCTTCCCAGCCCCTTCAAGAAGTGCTGGGGCGCTGTTCTAACTTGATACCCCCGCGGGGCCCCTCTGCCTTTTCCCCTTTGGGACCCATCACTCATTCCTACCCCTCTCCTGTCACCAGGCGCTTCGTCCCTGCCCTCCCGGCTGCCACCCACCTGTCACCCTAAGATAGATCCTTAGTCCCTTTCAACAGCATTTTGACCTTTGCGAGAGGACATTTGATTGACGGCCCTGCCCGCGTTGCCACTCAGTGCCCGGGGCCGAACTCCCGAAGGCACCACCTGTTAAGGATCGAATCTCGTGTGCCAAGTCCCAGCGCGCGAGGCCGCGCGGCCATGCTCGGCCGCAACATGTGTCGCTGCCTGTTTCCCTGGGGTGGTGCGGGGAGGTATGTGTGTGTGTGGGGGGGGTTGCTTTTCAAAGTGTACGTGTGGGGAAATCACCTCAGTTGGGGGGGTACCCCATACCTCTCCAGGTGGGGTGCAGACCTAGAAAAGTACTTTCCTTAGAGGGACAGGGCTTAAGTGCACATTCTTATTACAACCCCGTTAGGGGGCAGCTCTTATTAACGTGGGGGAAACGGACCCCCTCGCGGCGGTTGGGGGCACCGCAGCGCTCTGGGCACGCAGGTTGTCAGCGGCAGATTCAGGACTTGAAAACCTTTTTTTTTTTTTCTTTTTCCTGAGTCGGAGGTGCTGTGCCGAGTCTCCCGTGCCAAAGGTAACCAATCAGAAAAGGATGGGTGGGCTAAAAGGGGGTGACAGCCGCCGACTTAGATTTGGGTACCAGCTATCTTGCCCGTGAATACTATTTTTCAGGACAATAAGCAGAAAGCATCATTTTCTTTCCCTAAGACGCATCCTCTAATAGAGGTTCCGAGATAGCCAGGTGCGTGATCGGCTACCCCGGGAGCCCAGTTCTACCCGCGGCCAACCCGAGAAAAAACGTCCCTGCCTCCCTTCTCCCAGCAAATTGTGCACACAAATCGCCCTGCTTCGGCGAGCGGGGTTCGTGGAGGGAAAAAAACACCAGCGAGCACAGGGTGTTGGTCATGGCGGCGAGGGGCACTGCGGCAGAATTTTTTCCTCCCTTCTTTGCTGCAATCTGGGTGCGGCTAGAGCAATTTGTCATAGAATCTGGGGGGCTCATTTTTCCGGCCAATCACTTTTGGAGAAATGAGCGCATTGCAGCAGAATGCGCTGACGTCAGAGACCACCCCTTCTGCGCCTCCATATAAACCCCACCCAGCCAGCCCCTAGCGCAGACGGCGGAGAGCTGGGATGGAGCGCGCCTTGGCTCGCTGGCCTTGGCCGCTGCTCCTCCGGAGAACCGGGGCGCCCACGCGAGAATCTACCCATCAGGTCAGTGGTTGGCCATCCTTGTCAGGAAGGATGTGCAAAAGGAAGGCTACACCCCCGTCCGGGTTGGGCTCTGTCCTCCTGGACACGCCGGAGGACAGACGCCGGGACCTTCTCCTGAAGGTGGCCACCTCGCCTGGTCCGGAGCATCGGCCACGAAATACTGTCCGAAAGAAAAATCTCGAGGCACATTGTGGGTTTTTTTTTCGGGGGGTGGGGGGAGTAATCCGGGCCTCATTCTTGTCCACCCCTGGAGGGTAGGCTGGGTGGTGGGGCCTCAAATGAAGAGGAGTGGGAGGAATCAGACCAAACCCGTGTCGGAATCCAATGTCCTGCAGTCACTGGGGTCCAAAACCCACATTTTCTGTGTTTAAAAGAGCGCCCTTTGGAGTCACGAATGGTGGGAGCTATGGCGGCGGATGCATTCTGGGTGCCCTATGGACTGGGGGGGAAAGCACCCGAAGAGAAGGGTCTCCTGGGTGTAGCGTCCCCTCCCCCCAGTCTCTGGCCAGCTTCTTGGTAGCCAGTGGGCGCGAGGAGTAGAGGTTCCCATCCGCGAGGGCGTCCCAGTGCGAGCACACAGGTTGAGGGCAGAGCCGACTCCAGGCAAAAATGAAGTGTAAAATTTCTAACTGGTATCATCTGTTTCCACCCTGATCCACCTCCTTAACGGTGGAGAGAGATGGCGCCGAAGTGCAGACCTGCCAGAAGCCCCCTAGGATCGGTTCTGTAGGCAGAGCGGCGGGGGTGGGGGGGGGTCAAGTCATTAGGGTACTCGTTGAGTGGAAGCAGGGGATGGGTTGGCGTGAAGAGAAGGCCATTCCTTGGTCTGGGAGGCAAAAGGAAAAAGAAAAATTCGGAAAAGAGGGCGTGTTGTGGGGGGGTCTGGGCGCTGGGAGCTGGGAATTGGGGGTCAGGGGCTCTTTTCGCCATTGCGTGATGGTCGCTGGAAGATTCTGACATGTTGCGGGCTTTCGGTTTTTGATAGTCGCCTTTTGCCATTTCCTTTGTCCCTGTCTAGCCCCCCCATGCCACCCCCTCCCCACTCAGGGCCAGCGGGCTGTGTGGGGGGGCGCTAGCGGGTTGCTACGTGGCAGGTTTCTGGAATGTTCTCTTGATGGCCGCCAGAGGGCGCTGAAGGCACTGCGGAATTTTGGGGGGCGGGGTGGGGAGGGGAGGTGGCCTTTGTTCTTCTGCTAGAGGGGGTCAGGCGTGAGATTTCCTGGAGAATTCTAGATGCACTTACCTAAGGGGGAAATGCCGTAAGATCCCTAGGTTCGCGGGAGAGCGGCCGCAGGGTTCGCGCGGGGCAGTGGTGCCGTGATCCGCAGTGGCTGTGTGACCATTAGAGGGTCGTGGGAGTGCGTGGACGTGGACTAGTTTATTTCGGTTTTGGTTTTTGGGGTCTTAGAAAGGTGTGGTTCACTTGAGCAGGATGAGGAGGCCATAAGATTGTTCATTAGACGCCGTCGTGCGGGGTCTTGGAATTCGTGCTGTGGAGAAGGGAGGCAAGATTGCGCGGGAGGGGGGGGGAATGGTATTCTGGTGACGTTAAGTGGTTTTGGCCGCTTTTATATTATTTTATATTATTTTCTAGCGATACCATATTTTTTTATCATATGTCCAGAGACCACAGAAATGAGTGAAAACGTTGTATTGAGAACTGGGACTTTTTAATTTTAATTAATTTATGTTTAATTGGATTTACCGAAGGTCGGGGCCAAGCTTTCTGTGTTTTTACTTACTAAAAGTGGAATCATGTTCTGGAAAGACTTTTAGGGCGATTGTCTTCTTGACATTTCTCTGGCGACCCCCATAGTTGCGGGGCACAGAGGGCCCTCTGGGCGTTTGCATGGGGTTGCTGCCCCATGTCCACAGGTGGATTCTGCCTGGAGATGGTGGGCGTGAGTTTTAGGGGACACAGTGGCCCTGTGCGCTGGGCTGGGGGTGGACGGTGCCCACTCTCCTAGCCGGAGACCTGTTGGGCGCCCCCCCGCCCATCCTCTGCCAGCTGTTGCCCCTGGCAGCTGCGGGCCAGGAGCGGGTGGGGCGCTAGAAGCTCTCGGGGCGCGCGCGCGCCGCAGGTGGCTGTGCTCTAGGGCCTGGGTGCTGACTGCGCCCCCTAGCGGTCTCTCTCTGCAAATGTTCTCGGCCCGCCAAACCGGGCTTGAGGTTGCGCATGCGCACACAGCTGACACTTGGGGCTTGTCAATCAAGTCCTCCTTACCCCCTCCCACTTCTCTCCCTCCTCCCCTCCCACTTCTCTCCCTCCTCCCCCTCCCATTTCTGCTCTCCCTCCTCCCCCTCCCATTTCTGCTCTCCCTACTCCCCCTCCCATTTCTCCTCTTCCCCCTCCCCTCCTGTTTCCCTCATCCCTCCTTCCTCCCTCCTCCCTCCTCTCCCTTCTCTCCTCCCTCGACACCCCTCCTTCCTCCCTCCTAACCCCTCCCCCTCCTTCCTCAGCCCACTCCCCCCTCCTTTCCCTCGGACCGCCCCCTCCCTCTCCCTGCTGTTCCTGTGCTGGCCGGTAGAGGTCGTCGGGATGGTTTCTAATTTGGCCCCCTCCCACACTATAGGTTCGCTCTTCGGGGTGACGTCACCATTCACCGCCTTGTCTTCGAGGACCACCTGTTGATGCCCCGCCACTGCCGAAGTGCTTGCTGCTCCTCTCCACCTTATGGTAAGCAGCCCCTCCTTGTGGCGGTGGACGCGCCGCGTGGCGGCCGGACCCCCATCGCTGCTGCCTTCCTCCCACCACCCCCAGACTCATTAGCATTTAAAGGACAACTTTAAATTTTAACTAACTAGTTTTAGTTGCAATTAACTTATTTAAACTTTAATTCATACCTAGATTGAGACTTTTAAGCGGGCCCTCTAACCTTCGATCCATTGTAGAGGACAGAGGAGTGCCGACCCTGGATTCCCACCAGCACGCCGGGCAGCCCCCGGCAGAGCCCCCCCGGATCAGGACGCCGGAGGCTGAAGAGAACCAGAACTGACCAGCCAGCTGTTCCTCTCGGCGAAAGGCTTAAACCAATGCCCTAGTGAGGGGGCATTGGTCATCGCCCCCTGGCCTTTGCTATGCTTGTGCCTCTTGCTAGAGTACTTTCCTGTAAGTCTCTGCTTGTGTTAACGTGCCAGCGACCTGGAGTGTTTCCCTCCCGAGAAGGGGTCCGTCTTTCTTAGCCGACCCTGTTGTTGCCCCATCGTGTCCTGAATGGAAGGATCCCTTTGGGAACTTCTCAGGAGGGGGACCTGGGCCAAGGGCTCCACCAGCATCTCTCTGGCAGTTCCAAAGCCCGGGGGGGCTTCTGGAATGAGCATGAGCCCTGACACCATGGGCATCCCTGCCTCTTTGGGGACCGCCCCGTCCTTTCTGGGGAATGGTGACGAGAAGAGCGGCCTCCCAGGGTTGTTGTGAGTATCCAATGAGCCAAAGTAGCCTGGGGCAGCAGGGCTGGGCATCCACGAGGCGGTCAACAAGCGTTTGTTGGAAGCTCGGTAGGTAGGTCAGTCCATCCCCACATGTCTCCCTTGTCCTAACGCCTCTTGTTTGTTCTCCCACAGCATGTCGACGGCCCCTTCCACGGGGCTCTCCTCGCACAGGTAGGGGCGCCGCCAAGAAGGGTGATGGGCTGACTGGAATAGGAGCGTGAATCATGCATGCGGCCATTTCCAGAGCACTTTCTATGTTGTTTGAATGTTATTTCTACGTCAAACATACGTGTGGCGAGGCAGTCTCATTCACAGATGAGAATGAATTCAGCATTGACAGCTAATTTTAAAAAGGCGGGTGGGGACTGAGCGTCCCTCCTACGGGACAGGATTTATTCACATTTACAGTGAGGGTGCTGAGGCTGGAGGAATGTAAGTATTTTGTCACATTGCTGGCAAGCCAAGGGGTCAGAGTTGGACCCTGGGTGACATTGGAGCTACCCGTTACCCCCCTGGCCCAGAGTTAAGACTGAGAGCTTTTGATTTCCAATCAAGCATTTGACAGTGGGACAGTCTGTTTGAACTCCTCGCTGCCCAGGGTGGTCTTGGGGGTCTGGGTGGCCCCAATGCCGCTACCATGTGCTGGCTGCACCTCTCAATAACGGTGTGACCTTCCACAAGTCGCTTAACTTCTCCACGTCTCAGTTCCTTTCATGGTCTAAATGAGGATTAAAAAAAAAAAAAAAATCCAACAAAAAACCACCCGCCTTTAGCTACCCCACAGGGTGCTTTTGAAGACCAAATGATGTAACGACTATGAAAGTGCTTTGTAAATTGCTGTGGAAATTGCAGGGTCCTTAACAGGCCGAGCTTGTCCCTCATTGTTCGCATGCCCAGCCCTGTTCGCCCTCAGCCATAATTGGGCTAGCACCCAGTAGGTGCTGTGAGTGTTTGCGCTCAATAAATGAATTTCAAAATGAATAAAAACAGAATTAATCCAACAAACCCTTTCTGCAACACCGACAATATGCCCCGCACCCCAGGCCTGGTATGTGATACAAAGATGATGCAAACAGTCTCTTGGAAGCTAATTGGGACTCTCATTTGACCAGCCCTTTTTTCCTCGTCCCCTTTTAAGCCACCAGTTTTGTCCAGACAAGACAAAACAACTCAGGCCGCTTTGAGAAGCCCAGCTTGGTGTGGACAATGGCTCCCGGGCCTCTGAAAGGGCCTGATTGGATTATATGGCAAATGAAGGTGGAAGGGTGACTTGGAAGGTGACGAATGAAGTGGGCGGGGATCTGCTTTGAGTTAATCCAGGCTATTAGGCGGGAACCTTTTGTCTTCCAGAGGCTGGCGGGGGCTTTTACCAGTGCTTTTTACCTCCTTGCCGCGAGGACGCGGCATTCGTGGCCAGTGACATCCAGGCCCCGGGGAGACTGGCGTGGGCTGTAAGAGCTAGCCTCTCACCACCAGCGAGCGATTGCAGTGCACGTTTATGTCGCCCTTGGCTGGTAGCAGGGGCCTCTTTGCGACTGTCAATTCATTGGAACCTCACAACTCCCTGTCCCGACCCGGGGCTGGCCTGCCTCCTCCCGGGGGACAGAGGCTGTCAAGCGGCCCTTCAGATTGGGGTCCCGTGACACATTCGCACCCTCATTGCCTCTTGCTTTGGAAAGGAAGAGGCGTCTTCTGCACCGGTCACTCCTGTCTCCCCTCCAGCCACCAAGTTATACCCTCCGATTTCCTAACTGTTCTCTCCGCAGCCTGAGCCTCCCGGGCTCCTCCTGTCTCCTCCTTTCTGGCCACTACCGTCTCTCTCTTTCCTTTCACAGCCAAGCTTCTCGAAAGGCCTGTCTCCACTTGCTGTCTTCCTTCCTCACCTCCATTTCCTCTTCAACCCACTGCTTCCTGCACTCTCTGCTCCGTCGAGCGGCTCTCGTTAAGGTAATGACTTTTCTGTCGCTTAAGCCTGGACCCCTTTCCGGCTCAGGGTCCCATGGACACTAGGACACATTTCCAGCCTTCCTCTCACGCAGCTCTTGGGCCCTGGAGCACATCTGCAGACAGGTGCCCTCCCTGTAAATTTCACAGGGCCACCTGCTCCCGACATCCCTAGACCTTCGCCTCTCTCAGGGCCCCTGTGTGCAGGGCCCCGACTCCTGGAGCTGGCCTCTTCCCGCCCCGCCGTCCGTTGACTCCCGGCCAGCCCACCTCGTGGGAAGCCCCTGGCGTCCGGCGGTTTTTCTCAGCCACCTTTTTTCAATTTCGAAATAGAGTTAATAATGTTAACTTGGCGGGTCAGGTGGGATTATCTCGCAGGTAAGAACCAGACACTGTTGGAGGGACTTGAAATAAGGTCATTAAAGTATTTGTGAGAAAATATAATTAGAGTCGCCATCAGATTTTCTTACAGGTTAAGTTCCCACGGGGAGGACCACAGAGAAGAAAGAAGTGGAGAGGGGAGGAGGGGGGGAGAAGGGGGCGCCAGAGGAGGAAAGAATGAGAAAAGGCATTAAAGACAATGGGGTAGGGAAGGGAGACTTAGAGGATATTAACATCTACCGAAAACTCATCCAGAGAAAGCTTTCCTCGAGTGTCAGGTTGGGCTAAAATAAACAGGAAAAAGGTTTAAATTAATTATCCTACTGACAAATCCCAGGAAGCTTTCAAATCAAATTGCCCCATTTTTGGGGGGTTTTAACTCCTATCAAGTTTAACCTCTTTACCTCCTTCATCCTGGTTAAACCCTCCCTGGCCCTTGGCTGGTGATTAAATCCTGAAGGTGCTCCTAGTCTTTCAGGGAATGAATGGCCAACAGAAAGAGCCCGCTCCCTCCCCCCAGCTGCGTTTTTCAGTTTTCTTCCACTTTCCGCCCTTTTCCCTTAATGAACGCAAGGCTAGGCTTGGGCCTCCTCAAGGAAGAGGCTGCAGACGTTAATGAGGTAACTGCTGGGCTCCAGTGTTCGTCTCATAAGGAGCTGCCTTTGTCTGTGAAGGAAAAACACGCTGATTATCATAATGAGGCGAACTGGCGTCTGCAGGCCAGGGGCCAGGGGCCAGGGGCCAGGGGCCAGGGGCCGCGCTCCGCAGGCCACACTTGGGATTTCGGGGCTGGGGCCCAGGTTTCCTCGGCTCCTCCTTGACGTCTCGGTGCGGCCTGAGGAGCGGGGTGCAAGGTGGAGGTGGCTTTGGGGCCGGGCTGCCTTGCAGGGAGTTTCTTTGTTGGGCCCCACAGGCAGGTGTGTCAGGCGGGGGGCGCCCTGCTGCGTGCGGGCCATTTTCCCGGAGCCCCGGGGGCCGGGGTGCGCAGTTCCCACCGCAGCACACGCCTGACTTGTTTTGGGGCCCACTGAACGTTAAAAACTTGAGGTCACCACAGGGTAGGCAAGTGCCAAAGTCGGTCACAGGTGTAGGATCTGCGGGATTATCACAAAGGCCTGGAATGCCCCGTCCAGGTGAGGAAGTGGTTGAATATGGGCCACCCCCCGAGTAGAAAGGCATGGTTTAGGGTTCACATGTAGGCCCCACGGACTGAGGGTGAGGGTCAGCTCCCGTTCATGCTGGCAGGTGTGTCTTGAGCCTGAAACTTGCCCTTGGGTGTCCCGAGTTTTGGACATTTCTTACCTGAAGCAGATCAATCTGTTAAACTGCAAGCTCTGGCCAGACCTGCAGCCAAAATGGGCGGGGGGCGGAGGGGGGGAATGAAGCAAAGTGCTTGGAGCAAAAAAAATGATTCATAGAAAACTCACAGGCCTCCCTTGTCAGAGCCGCTGAAGGCCTGGGTCAGAGTTCTGCCCTCTTCCCACGTGAGCAAAACCTGCTCTCATCTGGCTCCCCAACAGAAACGTGGAAGGACCTCCACTTTTCGGAGGTGACCCGGGTCTCGCCCAGACAAGGGGACTGGAGAGTAAAATAATAGGACAATTTCCGGTGATTCTAAGCGAGAGGATTCTTTTTAAATAGAGAAAAAAAAAAAAAAAATAACCCGTAGGCTCCTCAGCTCCCACACAGCAGTAAGGAACATCGAAGGCTCTCCGGCCATTCAGACGCAGCAGCAGGCCACCCGGGCAGGGTGCAAGGCGTTTGCCCCTGGGGACCCTGGTGCCCCGGCCCTTGCGGAAGCTGGCGCCCACCCACTGCAGGGGTTTCTGGACACCAGTCAGCCATCCTTAGCTTTTCCGAGTTCGCCAGCGGTGGGGTCTGGGCTCCTGGCTCCCTTGAGTATAAGGGTGGCGCCCACTCATGTGCCTGTGCCCCAGGGACCTCTGAACTCCACTCGCCCAGCCCAGAGGTCCTGGAGGGCTTTCTGTGTTGGCCCCCTGAGCCCCAGAGCCCACTGGTCTCAACTTTCCCCATTAAGTCAACCGCGGAGGCTCGGCTGTCAGCTCTGGTTTTCTGCTGTGACTGTCCCCACCTCTGTTCTCCGTGTCCCCTTCTCTTCCCCCGTCCTCCTCCATCGCTCCTTCCTAACCCGGTGTTCTGGGGGTGCTCTAGGCCTGCCCATGCCTCCTCTGGGTGTCCCAGCACCAGCTTGGCACCATGTGGGGTTCAGTAAGAGTATGTGGGATGTATGTTTGGACAGATGAGTCAATGAAGGACCTCGACTCTTAAACTCAGGCTGCTAGAGGGGACGCTAGGGGTTAGAGGCAGGTCAAAAGGGCGGGGGACGGATTTCGGTTTAGGGAGGAGTGGGCGTCGCCCCTCCCCAGCCCCATTGGAGCAGGGCCTTGCCAGTCTCGCCCCTTCATTCACTCATGCGTCCATCCCGTCATTCAACAGTTGATCCTTACTGAGCAGGCCCACCGCCCGGCCCCGGGCTGGGCACCCGCCACGCTAGCTTGTCCCTTGATGGCCTCTGCCCCTGGGAGGATGGGCCGGGAGGTTGCCTCTGCTGAGGGCGGCCTTGCTGTCCCAGCGCTGGAGCAGGCGCCTGCTCCACGGCCGCAGGCCGGACGGTGCGAGGTGGCGGTAAGCTTTGATTCAGCCAGCCCCTCCTGCTCTCTCCGCCTCCCTCACTCAGCCCGTAGCCGAATGCTGGCTGTTCGGGACCCCGGAACTGTGGTGTGTGTCCCCTTGGGCCCTGGCCGCACAGGTCTCCCTCTTGAGTTGGGGACCGTGAGCTGGACCCCTCCCTCCACGATACCTTCCTCTTGGGGCAAATTCCAACGCCTTTGGCCTCCAGCAGAGGACAGTGGCCGGGAACCTCCAGGGAGCTCCGCGGGCTGCGCCTCTGCCTACCTGCCTACCTGTCTGCCCTGCCCAGGGGCCCTTCCCTTGGCCTCCACCGTCTGGGTTGGTTGCCCCCCCGCCCCCGCCCAGACCGCCGCTTGCCTCAGTCTCTTGCTCAGGCTGGCCCACGTCCCCCTTCTCTGTGCCCAAGTCCCTGGGCTCGTGACCCTCAGGGCTCAGCCGCCCACCCCTCCGTCTCTCGGGGCCGTGGTCCGTGCTGAGCCCGCACCTGTGTAACCCGGCCCTGCCTGCCGCCTCACCCCCCTTTCACCTTCTGCCTCTGGCCCTAAATACCCCGCTCCCAGCCCGAGGCACCGTTCTTTGGTGCTGCCCGGCTTGCCCACCGGACCCCAGTGCCTGTGGCACAGTCCCCTGATGGCGGGCCACCTCCTGCAGCCACCCTCACACGCCTCCTCCCATGGGCCTGGCTTCCCGGGGTCTGAGGGGCCCTCTTGTCCTGGCCCCTCCCTCACAGACCCCTTGTCCTGCCCGAGCAGGTGTTCCCATGGCCCGGCCCGGCCCTGTGAGCCCTGGGCTCTGCCCGCCCCAGGCCAACCTGGGTCTCAAGCTGGTTTGGGGACCGCCACCCAGGCCAGTGGCTTCTCCTGTCATTGCTCATCCCCATGAGCCACCTCCCTCCACCGAAAACCAGACGTCAGGTGAGATGGGGCTCGGGGCCTCTTCCTGGAGCGTGTGTGGCTCCTTGGGGGCTGCTGGCATGGCCCCGGTCCGACTTCCCGTCTCTCCCCAGGGTTGGCCCCTCCCTGGTCGGATCGGCTGAAGAACTGGACAGAAGAGGCAGAAGAGCCCCCAGAGGACCACCGCCCCGGACCACGCCCTCCTTCGGACGGCCACCTGGCATCCCCTGCCTGCCCTGTCCTCTGCTTCCTGGTTTGGGGTGAGTTTCTTGCTTTTCTCGGAACATCAGGACTCCATTAGGTCCCACGCACACCACTGTTGAGGAACACACCCATGTGGCCTGGGCAGGGTCCGCCACCTTCTCCACCTTGTGGGCTGGGGGTCCGGGAGCTGCTGGGAGCCGCGCCCTGGGCCTCATGGGGCCCGCCCTGGTGTCCGGGATGCTGTGGACCCCGCACGGTAAGTGGGGAGCTTCCGCTGCTGGGCCCTGAGAACTGGCCTGGGCCAGGCACACAGTAGGTCCTCCACAGAGCTTCGCTGAGCACATTCACGGGATGAAAAACGGTGCATTTGCTCTCCCACACACCTTGCCCCACCACGGAGACGTGGCTGTAGGAACCCAGGTCTGCTCCGTGGCTGGGAACCTGCATCCCCTCCAGCTGCGGTGAGGCCAGCCCCTGAGGGGTGCTGGCTTCTCCCCCACGAGGCTCGGCTTTGTCCTTCAATCAGAGTGGTTTCGGAGCGAGTCCCGTGGGCCTCCTTTCCTCATCCCTGCAGTCGCACGAGATGGGACTGTTTTTGTTTGTTTACACAAAGTCAGCGGTGGTAGGGAAGGAGAAGGAGAAGCAGGACCCCAGCCACAGCGGCACTCCGGGGTGCGTCGTCCGTCACGCGTGCCGCCTGGACACTCTGGCTCAGCCCGGCTTTGCCTCGAGGCCCAGAGGGTCAAGTTGGGTGTCTTGGGAGGTCCCACGCAGGGACACTGACCATGTGGCAGCTAACCAAGCAAGGTGACAGGAAGAGAGGAGGTGGCCTAGTGGTGGACACCCTCCTTTCAGGGGTCCCAGCGGCCGAGCCACATGGGGGCAGCGGGGATGTTCAGAGGCAGCAGCCCTGGCTTCTGCCCAGATGTGGAAATGGGGTGCAGTTCTGACTTTTAATTAAAACATCAGTGGAGGCAAAGAGGGGCCAAGGGATCCAGGCCCGGGGGCTCTCGTCTGCTTGATCTGCCCCTGGGAAAGCCCCACAGGCTTCAGAGGCCGGGGTGGGGAGGGGAGCGGGTGCCCAGAGCTCAGCCCAGGGAGGGGCCCTGGGAAGACCGCGCCCTGGGACATTTACTCCACAGCTGGCATTTGCCAAGCTACCCGCAAACATGGTGACGTGGAAGAGAGGGCTGGGCAGGAGCTTCAGGCGGGGCGGGCACGGGACTCCTGGGGGCTCATAGCCGGAGCTTGCCGGACGGGCCGTGGAGCTAGTCTGAGCCCGCTGCCCTGGGCTTCTAGACCCTTCTTCAGCGGCATCTCAGGACTCCCGCGGGGTGGGCTGAGCCGAGAGCCAGAGTCGGGCGGAGGGCAGGGTCCCAGACTGCCGGCCCCCGACCCCTGAGCCAGCCCAGCAGTTTGGGGTGACCAGGCTGTCCTTCAGGCACTCTTGGGACGGTCCAGTGTTCAGCCAGAACACATTTTGGGTTTCGTGTGGCATAAGCACAAAACAAATAAAAATAGATCAAGGTCTCGATTAAAGAAGTTGACACTAACGTGACAGATCAGCCTGCAGCGCGGCCGTGCCAGGTGTCGCGGACGGGCCGTCCCTCCGCGCTGAGAAGCGCTTATTTTCAGGGGAGTTCTTTTTTGATATATCTGTCCATCCCTGGGCAGTAAGGGGTGGGAACAGGACCCTGATCAGCCAGCCGTAGGACCCTGTCACTGCAGCGCGTACGGCCTCTCTGGGCGTCTTGTCCTTGCGCTAAGTGCTTCCCCGGGGCACGCGTCTAGCGGGACGTGCGTGGAGGGGCGCAGGGTCGGGGCAGAGCTGGTGGGCTCGTCTGAGGGGTGGTGGGTGGGACAGGGGCTGGTGTCCCTGAGTCTCTGCTCGTGGAAAGGGAAAAGGTGCCCCCTTCTTTCACCCCCCAGTTTTCCCACCTGCAGGGTTCCTGGTGGGGCCTGAGGGAGCCTCCAGGGCCCCCGACCTAGTGTCTCCTGGCTTGGGACTCCAACGCAGAACGTTTGTGCACATTTCTCCAACTAATGTCAAAACCTGACAAGACTAAGGGCAACAGGATGCACGTGTCCCTTAATCATTCATTTACATGAACTGATGTAAATGTGTTTGGTGTTTTTTTTTTTTATGCAACCTGACTTCTAGAAAGAAGAGTCTGCCCGTCCTTAATGAGCTTGCTAATGAATTTTTCCTTTTAAGGGTTAGCAATAAAAACGTTTCTATTCATTTAAAACTTTTTAAAGCGGGAGGCGGCTTTACACAGAACTGACACCAATTAAGGCCCCACGGGGTGAAAGGGCAGTGGCCAGCGTAGAGACCAGCGTCGTCAGCTGTGCTGGGAGAGGTCTGGGGCGCTGGTCTTCTTCCAGGAAGACTGGAATTTAACAGGTTGTGGCCAGGTCCCCAGAACGAGCTGCCCTTCCCCTCTTCTGCGTCGAGCCCCATGACCCGTCCACCAATAGGACTAAGAGAGTGTAGCTTCGTCTGCCATTTCCGGCGTGAGCAGATGGAACATTCTGGAAAGGAGTTGCAACTCTCCAGACGAGGCCATCTCAAGGGTGGGGTTCCCATTTGGAAGGAGATGGAAGCCTGGGTGTAGGGCCAGGGTGGGGTTCTGAGGGCAGAGGGTCGCAGGGGCGGGCGCACCGCCTGGGCGCGGACTGAGCTGCCATTTCAGAGCCAGGACGGGTGGGAAGAGGGCCCCGGGGCACTGCAGCCGGGCAGCGCAGCAGGGGGACGGGGCCCAGGTCCCCTCGGACCCAGTAGAAGTGGAGGCACCCCCAGCTCTGCCACGGCGAGCGGCCGGGCGCCCGACAGGCGCACCCCTGAGGTGCCCAGACATCCCAGGGTTCTGGTGCTTTCCGGGATTTAGACCTGGGTCTCAGGTTCCAGTCTTCATTAGAAAGCCGATCGCTCTGGCCATTGTCTTGGGCACTAAGCGTGATTAGAAAGTCTCCAGACATATCTGTAATTGTCTCCTCAACTCCCTGCCCCCTTAAGCCCTCGGTGGTCACGGGGACCAGCAAGCAGAGCAGGTGCTGGGTGGCGGAGGCCGGGGTGGGCCCCGACTTGGGGGGATGTGTGTGAGAGAGGAGTTAATTAAGGGAGAGCATGGCGGAGGGTGTAGTCCTGACTCTCTTAATTGCTCTCCAATTTCTTTGGGCTTAGAAAAAAATCCAGATGGAGACTTCTTAAGTCCTCCGCCCTGGGGTCGGGGCAAAGGAAGGCTCCCCACCACCTTCCCCGGCTCCTCTCCGTGCAGTGAATAGGGTCTTTGGCAGGGGCTTAAGGAGGGGACTCTTAGCCTGGGAGCTCCCAGGGACCGTTCAGATGGGAACAAAGGCGTGGGCAGAAAGGAATGTGGGGGAGCCCCCGTGGGGGACAGCCACCTGGGGATAATTGGGAGGGCTGAGTGCAGATGAGTTTTCCCAGGTCTCTGAATACATTCTTTCAATAGAAGGTGCCTTTCTTCAGATGAAAAGAAGAAAACCTCAATTACCTTCCCCGGGGAAGGAGGGTGTGGGAGTATGTGCGTGCCCCCTGCGGGGGCCGCCGCCCCCGGGGCCCCTTGCCCTTGTGTGCGCCTCCAGAGGCGCAGACAAGAGGCTGCACAATGGCACGCTTCGCCAGCCACCCCAGCAGTGTGACCCCGGCCATGCTTCTGCGCCTGGTTCTAGGGCTTTCTTTCTGCAAGTTTCTCAGGAGGAAGAAGCAGTGGCCGTGCCCGTAAACACGAATGTGATCAAACTGGGCCTGGCGCCCCGAGAGACGGCCAAGGGGACAGAGTGGGGCTGAGGGGCAGAGCGGGGCCGGGGGACAGAGCTCGGGATGGAAAGCTGAGGAAGGAGCACCGTCGGGGGGCCAGAGGCCGACTGCCTGTCTGCGCTGGCCACCCAGGGCCGCAGCTGCACGCCTCCTGCTGCCTTTCCGGCCCTTTTTTGGGGACCCCCTCATGGGTGGGGAGAGGCGTATGACCCAAAGGCACAGGGTGAGAAGTTGGGGCTCAGGGCTCGGGGTCCACAGGACCCTGCTGGGGTTGGGAGGATGGGGCAGTTAGCACGACCCCCGGGATAAGGGCAGCACTGAGCCAGGGGACCCACGGAGTCGGAGGGAGCAGCCACCTCTGCTCCACACGCCCTGAGGGCGGGGGACCCTCCGGGGGAACCAGGGCCCAGGGCCTGTGTGAGAGGAGGGAGTCCCTGGACGGAGAGTGGCCCGTGTCTTGGCCAGTGCCGGCTTCGGGACCCCAGTTCGCTGCCTGTGGACTGGGGTAGTCGCCTGTCAGCCCTGCCTGTTGAGCAAGGCGGGAGGAGCCTGGGATGTCAGTACTGGAAAGGCAAGGGCCCCGGGGATGGGGCAGAGGCCCCAAGCGTCCAGAGTGGGCCCCCGCCAGGCTCCTGGCTGGGCGTGGGGCTGAAGGCAGTGCCTCTTGCTACTCAGGCCCCGGGGTCAGCAGCAGCCCCTTCAAGGCCTTCTGAGTGCCTGGTTCCAGCCTGTGCACAACACCGGCCGTGGTGACTTAGGCCCTGTCCCCGGCCCTCTGGGCCTCCATTTTCCCACCTGTAAAATGGAGCTGCAGTCGCCATCATCTGAGGGCCTTTGGAGCCCTGGGTCCCTCCCGGCTGCTTCTGTGGGCACCTGTGTTGCACTGTTTCCTTGCTGGGTCTTTAGAGTTAGGGTCTCCTTCCGAGACGAGGAAACCTGAGCCCAAGGTGGAGGCTGGTCCCGCTGGACTGGCCTGACCCAGGGGTTGCGGTCGCTCGCTGGCCGCCTGGTCAGCCTTCCTTGAACACCTATTCTCAGTGCTTACACCCTGAACGTGCTCCTCGGGGCTGTTTGGTGCGAGGACTGTGTTTTCTAGAGCCGTTTTCGAAATGGGTGGGCCGCCGGCCAGCCCTGGAAAGCCTTTCTGGGCTGTGGAGCGGTCACTGTGTAATGTGACCAGCCTGTGGCTGCAGTCCTGGGAGGGGGTGGCCGGCTGTCCCCTCCCTGGTGGCTCACCCTGTGCCTTTGGGTCGCACGACACTGGGCACTACCCCCGCTGGTGCCCTGACCTGCGCGGCTGAGGACTTCCTGAAAAAGCCATCAGAGAGGCAGCTCTTGGAGACGTGATCAGTGACAGGCTTGTGCCGGGGTGCCCGCGGCAGCCCCGGCTCGGCAGGTGGCCCTGGCTGTGCCTTGGGCTTCCGGGCGCCCTCGCGAAGAGCTCCTGGCCCCGGGGTCAGGCCGCGCCGCTCCGCTGCCATGAGGGGCCGCAGCCTCTGCGGGGTGGCCTTGGTTACTACAATACCTGCGAGCTGCAGTGGGGAATCAAAACCGTTGCCAGCCTCCATTAGGCCAGCAGCCCGCCTTTCCCGAGGCTGCCTCTGCCATTCGCTCCATTAACGGTGCCCATGCGCCAAATAGGCCCTAATTCTCTCTAATTGCCCACTCCTGAAGCAAAGAGTGAGATTCCAGGAAGAGGCGTATGTAAACATCCTCCGCGGCCCCGGCCAACTGGAATTAGACGGCTGAGGGGCCGGCGAGGCAGAGGGGACAGGGTTTCAAAAGATGCCCCAATTACCTCTCCCGTTTTCATAAATGGGCCCGTAATGCCCAGGGCCCCGGCCTTCACAAAGGGACAGGAAATTAGCTCTGCAAAGGCCTGGCGTGCGCGGGGAAGTTCTAAGAGGGTGGTCTTTACTCAACAGGTAGGGAGCAGGCAAGGCTGCTGATTTGTGTAAACTACAGGCTCTATTTCTGGACATCATCATTTTATTAAAAATAGTCTTTTCATGTCTTTACGGCTCTAAACATCCACCATTATTTGTACCAAAGAGGGGCCTGATCAGCGAGGTCCTGTTTGCCTCCAGATAAAAGGGACTTTAAAGATCTTGGGATGCTGAGCCTAGAGTGCTCTGATCCCGTTAAGCCGTGGAGGATGGTGTCCCTGGGCCCGCCCGCACTTCCTGTGTGGATCGTGAGCTCCGCGCGCGCGTTCGTGAGGTCTCTGAGGAAACGCGTGTGGCAGTTGTTCCCCTGGACCCTGTGAAGAGGCCTTATGTTTTCCTTTGGTTCCAGACAGCGACCCATCTCTGCAGCTTCTCTGGCGATTGTTAAGATTACGGCCCGATTACGGCCCGGCTCTGTGTCAGTAACGCACTGGGGCAGACCAGGGGCTGGCGCACGCGGCTTTGAAGCCGCGGCTGCGTCTTCCTCGAGCAGCCTGGGGTCTGCACGAAAGATAACCTGGGGCAGTCCAGACCTCTGGGGGTTCCTGGGGCCTCCAGAGCAGAGGCAGGAAGCAACTTCGGATTTTGCTGGTCCCATTAAAATACCAAAGAGACCAAACCAGAACACACCCCAAAGTATTTTCCCAGCTCCTGTTGCTGTGGGTAGTGGCAGTGCCTGTGGTCCCTCTGGCTGCAGTTCCTGGCTCAGGAGTCACCCTGGGTGCTCCTGGGGAGGGACGGGCACATCTCGGGTGGGATCCAGCACAAAACAGAGGTCCCTGAGCCTTCAGATGACCAGAGTCTGCCCTTGGTCACCCACGAGCTGATAACTGCTTCATCGACACATTTTTAAAAGACTTCTAGTTTTTTGGATATAAAAGCAACTAATTAGGAGAAAACGGCGTTTGGGAGGCTTAAGGCCAGGGAAGGAATTTTAAGGAAGATGTGGAAGTCAAAGGTGGGGCCCCGGTTCCCTGGCCAGCTCTTGGGAGCCGCAGTGGATGATGCCCTGGGGAAGGGGAGGGACACAGGTGGCAGGGCTGTCCCCAGGGGCTTAGGTCAGGGCAGGGGGAGTTGGAGGGAGCCTCTGCCTTGGCCGCCGGAGGGCCAGGGGCAGCCTGTGCCTCCCTCACTCTTACCCTGGCGCCCGACTCCGCCCTCACGCACCTCACTGCTCCCGCTTCAGCCGCTGCGGGCCGCCCGCTGGCCCGCCTGCTTACTTCCCCCTGCTAGACTCCAACAAACACAGGTCCAAACTCTGCTCACTTACAATTTCTTTTTTAATGTATAGATTTTTTTTCTGAGCAGTTTTAGGTTTACAGAAAAAGTGAGTGCTGAGTCCAGAGAATTCCCAATTCCCCCCCTCCTTCCCCTGTCATTAGCGTCTTGCACTTGTGTGGCACATTTCTTACAATCCACGAGCCAAGATGCAGTCGGCTCTGTGTCTGCGGGTTCCACACCCCTGAGTTAAACCAAATGCAGATTGAAAATATTTGGAAAAAAAGTTAGGCTGTTGCTGACAACGTGTAGTGTGTCTCCAGGCCTACAGTGGCTGCTAGTTGCGTGTGTACTGAAATGTACAGGTTTTTCTGTCATTGTTCCCTATGACCACTGATGCAGCACTTACACTGTATGAGGTGTCACAGGTAACCTGGGGGTCACTTACTGTCTGCACGAGGGAGCACGTGGGCTGCGTGCCAGTCCTACAGCCCTGGACGTAAGGGGCCCAAGCATCTGCAGATTTCAGTATCCTCGGGGGGCCTGGGCACCAACGCCCCACACGTACCGAGGGGCAGCTGTAAATGATGAGGACGTGCCTCCCTCGACTCGCTGTTTTAGAACTCCGATTTGAAGGCGAGCGCTTGAGGTCGAGAGCTTGCATGTAACGGTGGGGTGAGGTTCTTGTCCAGTGACTAGTGCTTTGTCGTTCCAGCCGAAGCTGTCGCCTGGAATCCTTTGTGGGAAGGGACCTCGGATGCAGCCCCAGCGCCCTGCCCCTGTAAAACCGTAAGTTCCTGGGGCGTGGGGCACACGTCTGTGGCCTTGTCCATGAGGGCGGGGGCCGCCGCTCCGAGCACACATCAGCTGAGCCTTGTGGGAGGGACTGGCAGGAGCCCAGCCAGCTGAGTCTGGTGGCAACCTGGGGGCCCGTGTTCTGAGGCAGGACCTCTGGCACCCTTGTGTTGTGGCAGAGAGTTCTCCTGGCAGCTTCTGGTGCTGGACCCCAAAAGAATTTCTCCCCCTCTGCTCCCCGAAATGAATGGTTCTTTCACTGTGGAGGGTCCCCTGGACTCCTTGTGCTGCAGGGCAGACTAGAAGTGCCCTGCACGGGCCAAGGAGGGTCCTAGGGCAGAGGGACCTGCCTCTCTCACGGGCTTCCAGCTGCAGCGACCTTGCTTTCGCCCTTGAAATGTCTGGGGAGCAGAACGGGCAATATTCTGCCTTCACACTGTCCGGCGAACTCTCTCGGCCTTCGTTATTGTTTGGGACTGAGACCCTCAGCGATGGTGATGGGTACTTCATTTTGTGCTTGCCCTTAAAGGCTGAAATAATTTTACATGGCTACACACCAAGCTGTCTCTTGAAAAATGGTCTCCACACCCGCCATTTCCCCCCGGGGGATGGGGGGGGGGCCCGTGTCTGACATGTGGGTCTCTGTGTACTCCCTGGCCTTGAAACTGCTTTCCCACGAGGGCGGCCACTCACAGGGCCTGGGGGACACGCCGGCCCTGCCCCAGGCAGCTCCTGGGTGTGAGCCCCGGGAGGGTGTGGCCACGCCAACGTGCGCTGTGCCTGCGCCCGCTACGGGGACTGTGGGCGGTGCACAGCCCGGTCTTGGTGGCCAACTCGGTGGGAGGAAGAGGAAGGTCTAAGATACGGTGATTATTGTTTTTTTGGTTTTTTGTTTTGGGTGGGAGGTCATTTTGCTGCTACTGTATCTGTTACATGGTCCAAACACGTGAGTGGGTGAATGGATGATCGAAAGCATGAAGGGAGGACTAAACAAATGGGTAGGTAAAGACGTGAGCGAGCAGGATGAGCGTGTACACTGAACAGGACCCAGTCTGATGCATAGGCGATCAATATATGAGTCAATAAAATATTAACTCAGTGTGCAAATAAGGCCACACATGAACTCGTGTCAGGCCGTCGTGGATGGAGAAACGTGTGCAGTTTAAATAGAGACCACCTAAAGTTTTCAATAGAAGCATAACAGGTAAATAAAAGAAAGAACCAATGCTTTTGAAATGCGTAAGCCAATGGTGACAATACTGTATTGTATGTGTAAAAATGTGCTACTTGGGGTAGATTTCATGTCAAGTGTTCTCATCATAAATGACAGTAAAGGGGCGGGGAACTCAGGCGGTGGACAGGCTTGTGATGCAGGCTGGTCCAATGGTGTCCTGTGTGCCTGCGTCTCCAGCGCGTAGAGCTGTGTACGTATACGTTTATTATGTGTATGGCTTTCTGTGAAAAAAATAAAAATAAAAAAGTGAAGAGGACCTGGGGGAGGGGGAACCCCACACCAAGGCAGGGGGGATGAAATGAGGAGGCCGGTCAAAAGGAGAAGGTGCGGGAGGGAAGGGACCGGGGACTGAAAGGAGGAGGACACTGGCAAGAAGCAACATGATAAGTCCCAGGAAGGAAGAGTTTTTAAAGCTTTGGCGACGGGCAACGCTCGCATGTAAGGCGGACCGTGTTGGGTTATTAGAAGCTGAGCCTTGGGACCAAGCGTCCACGTGTGCGCTCCTGGCACAGAAAAATTAACCAAGGAAGAGTGAAAAGAACAGTTAGAAAGGAAAGGGGAACCAGGGGACCAAAGAGGAGAGGTAACTTTAACCAACAGGCTTTTTAAAAAAAAATTCTGGGTACAAATAAATAGATAAGTAAATAAATAAATAGATAAGTATCGAAGGGAAAGCAAGCCTCCCCCCTCCCCTGAGTAAAAAAAAGAGAGTGAAGTACGTACCTGGCCCGGGGTGGGCAGCGAGGCCTGGGGGACTCTGAGGCGTGAGGGGCTTGGAGTCTTCGGTCCTGGGAGCAGAGTTCTGTTACATGGAAGGACGACGGAATGAGAGAACAAACAAAGCACCTCGGCGTGACTGCAGAGATGTGGAAGAAACAGCAGCAGAGGTCGGGTGCGGAGCAGTAATGGGGGTCCTGAAGCTAGAAGGAGGGGTTAGAGATGGTCGCGAATCCAGGGCTGGGGAGAGTCCAAGTCCAAAGCGGCAGCGCTGTGGGTGACATGGGAAGCGTCTAAGCAAAGAAGTGGGGGGACTGTGGAAACAAGGGTGGGGCAGGGGCAGCGTGGCCACGCGCCGCTGAGGTGGGGGCTCGTGTTTTCTCCCTGGGCACAAGCTCTGGGAATGAGCGGGGGCAGGTGAGACAGGAGGGTGTATAGGCAACTGTGGCAGAAGAGAGACAGGAAGAACAAAAAGTGGCAACGACCGAATAGGCAAACGGGTAGGTCCACAGGAGGGGGTCAGGCTAGTATTGGTGATGCGGGGCGCTCGCAAGCCGTGGCTCGTGCCTGGTCCCAGGCTGAGCACTCCATCCCACTGGGAGAGGAGTGAACGCCTTAGAAAAGGGAAGCAGGAAGGAAGGATGGACGAATGAATGGCGGCTGGAAGGAATCAGTGAGCCCGGGGCTGCCGCGTCAGGGCGGGTGCTTGCAGGCGGCCGGGGGATGCGTCTGTGCGTCCGTCCCTGGCGCCCGAGCTCTGAGAACGAGGGGATGTGAGAAAGGAGGAATGAGAGAGTGAAAGGGAGAAACAGTGGAAAGCGAAAAGAAATAGAAAAGTTATCTTAAAAAGAAGAAAGCTAATTAGTTAACAAACAGAGATAAATGCACAGATTGAGAGAGAGCCGTCCTAGGAATAAGATGGAGGGCGTGCAACCCAGGCTCTGGGGTGGGGGTCTCACCTGTGCTTCTGACGGGGGCAGCCCTCATCCCCCCCTACCATCCCCCATCCCCCCAGGAAACAGTTCAAGCTGACACGGGGCGGGGGCGGGACCCATGGGAGGGGAGGACCCGTTGACTACAGGTTAACGAGTAGCCAGTGAGGTGCCGTAGCCGCCTAGAAGTGAAACAGCAGCAATTGACGTAGAAGGACCACATGGGCGCATGAAGGAAGGGAAGGAGGGGGAAAGGTTTGCACGGACTGGCGAGGCGGGGGTGGAGGGGTTGGGGTTCAGCCAGTCCCGGGGGCCTGGAATCCAAAACAATGGTAGGCAGTAAGAAAGGAAGGCTCAAAGACTGGCAGGAAAACAATTAAGAAGGGGAGGAAGTCAACATACGCAAGAGGAGTAAACAAGATAATAAGGAAGCAGGTCAAACAGTTACATGCGTGAGAGGGCACAGGTTCCGCGCCCGTCACCCATGTTAATCAGATATGCGGCCCTGAAGTTTATAGATGATCCGACACAACCATACACAAAAGGCGGAATAAATGGGTGTGTTTCATGAGAGAGCAAAAAAGTTTGAAAGATGGAAGGAAGGACTGGGAGAGATGTAGGAAAGGCAATGACAGTAGACATGGAGGAGAAGGTCCTGACCGCGCCAGGGCTTAAATATGACAAACAAGTGTCAGTCATTAAATGCAATTAGTGGGAAATAGCGAGGTGCATCAGTAAAAAAGCCCACCTGTCTAAAAAGAAAGGCGTTGGTCAAAGGCGTGGTGGTGTGAATGAACAAACGAACGAATGAATGAGAAACGATGATTTCAGCGTCTCGGCTTCTGCAACAGGACTCGGATAAAATAATGCAGAAAAGAGAAAGCAAGGAAGCGGGGGGCACAGAAAATTATGACGAGATAGATAGAAGCAATAAAAACATATTGAATGAATAAATATACAGGGTCCGGCACAAATAACACCTCTGTATTTATTACAAAATCTTTTATTACAAAATCATAAGCATGTAATTCTGTATTGTAACAATATCACACTCAAGTACACTGACATTTTAGGTGAAATGTTCAAATTAAAACTATAAATTATTACACCTCTATTACTACCCTACCAACCACACTTAAACAGGTCTTACTTCTGCCAGACCCTGTATGTATATATGAATAAGAATATAGGAGAGAGAGGGCCACACTAGAACAAAAAAAAATGAGATGACATCCTGACCCCAGAATTATGGCTGATTGAAAACTGACTCCCGAGGTCACAGAAAGAACCCTAAAGCAAGGGTACCTGTTTGTACGAGGGATTAACAAGCAAATGGATGCCCACAGATGGGTGTTGTGAAGACTCGGGGAACCGCAGGTGATGGTTACTCCAATTTGGCACCTGAGGTCCGTAAATAGGAGGATGAATGGTGAGATAAAGGAGTGGCAGGAAGGATGACTGGACCCGGCAGCCGCTGCTTTAGGAACGGCAGCGCCCTCCTTGTCACCTGCGCTCCCTGGGGAACGCCAACAGGTGCGGGGGGTTGGCGGGGGGGAGAGCATCCGAGTTGAAGAGGTGAGGAAGGGCTAGATGAAACTAAGTGAAAGAGAAGGAAAAAACCCCTCCAACAGCCCACGGGGAGGTAACGTCAGTGCGTCTTCGATAGAAAGCCCCGTTGGGGTTGGTTACAGAGTTGTCCTTAGTCCTAAACATGGATGAAGCCATTCTATCCTGGGTCCAGGGCAAAAAAAAACCCCGAAAAAAGCAAGATAATAAACAAACAACCAGAGTGATAAATGGTTAGTTAAGAGAGGTTGTCTGAACAGGGATTATAATTGGTTTACATACATACTCCTTAAATAGATAAATACACCTTTCAAAGAATAAATGAAAAATTGAGGAAGCACCAGCCCCAGAACAAGCACTGTAATAAAATATAGGCAATTGAGGTCCATAAATAAAACAATAAATGCTAAATGGAAAAGGTGACTAAATGCAGGGAAGAAAGATTGTAAATGCAAATAAGAATGCAGGCCAGTAATGTTTATTTTGCACATGGGGTTTTGACTAATACAATTATTTCGCAGGAGTCCTAATTGATAAAAAAAAAA